GTTCTTTGATTAAAAAATTGTTCATATTAACTTATGAAAATAATTACGGAAATTAAACATTTATTTTAAGTTTTCAAAAAAATGTACCTTATTTTCATCAAAAACTAATTAAATCATTTTTAGAATTGAAGTTTTTCAAACAAAGTACAATAAAAGTAAATAAGGGATTGTTTTTAATTTAATAAAACACGGACAACTTAAAACTTACTTATCTGAAATAGCGTTCAAAGACGTGCGAGTAAGAATTATACAAAAAAATGTCTTTCCTTACGGGTTTCGAGACGATTGGTAGTCGTGGAGTTTCGTTGTTTTTGTTACTTTGGCTTTATGCAAGGTAACAAGCTAATAAAAAAATGATTGCTCGTATTTCAATTAAATGTTTACTCTAATACATACGCATCAATAAATCCTCTAATTACTAGAATCCTTGGAAATTGTATAAATCATTTTCGTGTTAAAGGCAAAATAAAATTGCGTCTGATTTAAATGATTACCTCACTTTTTAATTTTATACTTCATGTGTGGATTAGATTTTTAATTTAATCTCGATGAAAAGATTTATTATTATTAGAATTATTTTTTTATTGTATTAAAATATTTATATTTTTATTAAAAATAAGACTATTTACAATCTTTAATATTTTTTACAATAATCTGTTGATAAATATCGGAATAGTAATTTTACATTTTAATATTGAACTATAATAAATTTGTACAAGTTCTATAGATGAATATAAAATAAAAATACATGAATAAACACATCCATATGGTACAAAATTAAATATTAAATTTAAAATAAATCTCTAGGGGTATATAATTTTCGTAAGTATATATATATATTTAACAATTTTACATATTTACTAGCATAGGCACAATTTGGGGGGGGGGGGGGGGGGGGGGCTAGAGTGTGCTTAGCACCTCCATTTTCGAAAGTAGCATCCCCAAATGTGTTTATGTTAATATACATTTAAATTCTCATTACTCATTATGTGTAGAAAAACATATTAGTTTTTGAGTTTTTTTGTATACATATATAAATTTTTATACAATAAATATATATTTCGCAATACGAAAAAAAAATATCTTTGCTATAGGGTAAAAGTTTCAAGTTTCTAGCCACATTACTTTTGAAATTATGACTAAATAACTAAAATTTGAAATGTGAAAGTCTTATTTTACAGCGTATTTTTACCATTTCAGGACAGTTTTTTCCTCTATTAAGATTTAAAAAAATTACCTATCTAAAGTACCACCGCATGCCAATTTAAAATCTAAAAAAGGTCATAGAAAAAAATGTTGGGCCAGTATTTCTATCCAATAAAGTGTTAAACAAATAAAATACAAATATCATTATAAAACCATAATATACTTCGCTTCAGTCAGAATCTTAAAGTGATCATGTGATAAAACATTTGTGTATACAGACATTTAATTCGTTACCAAATATTTTAGTAACTGTAGAATTGTACGATTTGCGGGAGTCTATAACCATTAAGGAACATGGATAAGATAGAAGGGCTTCAGCACCCCCAGTTTTTTCATTAAAATTGCACCCCTGTTTACAAGTATCTAATTTACTAAAAATATGTAACGTTAACGATTTTAAGCGAAATTATTTAGACAATTATAATAACAAAAGTTAAAACTAATCAATATGGAAAAAATGAAAAACAAAAGTATATTTTTCATGTACTTTATAAGTATCCTGTATTATAATAAATAATGTTTTATTCAACCATCGCGAGTTATAACTATAGATTTCTTAACTACATATGATTTATGTAATTTCTTTATAGATGAATATTTTTTATTTTTTGGAAAAATTTTAGATGATTTTCGACCACTAAAAAAAAAATGTATCTTAACGCATCTATTTAAATTATTTTATAAATACTTACACTAGGAGTAAGTTATTTAATTATACTATATATTATATAATATTATTCACGTGAAATCAAGAGTAGTTTCATTTTGAACATTTATGAAATTTATTTTTACTAAAATCTTATTGACCGTTGTATTAATTCGAGACGCTAGATTTCGGTACTAGACATAGTACGGTATACATACGGTTTGAATTCGTCAGTGTAAAATAATATACCAAATCGTGGAGTGATAGCTTAGGCGTTTATATTTTATATCCGATACCTGCGTGTACATAAAATGATTAATTTATATTAACAATAAATACGCGTACATGATATCAACGTATTATGCAATCAAATCTATCGAACGGCAAGTCAGCGAACAGCTGCCATAATACGTAGATCAATCGTTCTGTCGCCGTTACTAATAAACGCCGAACTAGCGCATGGCCATTAATTTTCTGTGCGCGGACAAGGGTGATAGGTAAATGTAAAAATATCAACACGTATATGGGTTTGCGTTCGTAGACGAATGCTAGTTATTATGCCGTTACGATGTGCACGGTCAATATAATATTTAAATCGCGGTGATAAATCGACCGCGCACGTTCATCGTCGGATAGCTAGAAGCCGATAGTTGAAAATGCCCCGAATTCCCTTACGTCAATGTGAAATGTACGCGAGAAAACGAATTTCGCAATACTTGTTATGCCGAGTCAGCGCAGGGAACTATATGGTATATATATATACGTATAGAATGCATATAATTTATATACGTATGTATTTAATACCCATCCATGACTATCTCTTACCATCGCTACATTTATAATAATAATATAATCAATCGTTGGAATATCGTCGTCGTACATCGTGTACCGAAACGCGTCGTGCAGAGTATCCAGGGAAAATGTTTGAATATTATTTTCAAATAATTCTATCAGAAGTGAACAATAAATTTATTGACATAATTGTATTGTTCAAAACGAATTTTACATCATCGTAGTATGCCGTTAAAAGTTAAAAATAATATCCGCGGAGTGCGACTGCAGGCGGAGAAACAATAAGAAGGTTGACTTAACTTTAAGAAACCACAGAACAGCCCATATTACGTTGACAACTCGTTAATGTCGTGAACGAAACACATTTCCGTTTCAGGAATGTTCACGTACAAATAGTTTATGATTACAATTTTACGGACGTTCATTTTAAGATATATCTTTAACCTTTGGACTCTGAGTAACGAATACTCTGTTCCCGATAAATACAATTATTTAGGTAAGTTTCATTTCACTTCCATTAGAGTTATTTCAAATTTTCCCATTTCTTTTGAATACACCCTGCAGTTCCATCTCATCGTGCGGTTTTATCGTTTTCGAAAAAAAAAATGTTCGCCATAAATCGACATTGACGTTTTTGGTCATCAGAGGAGGAATCGTGGACATTTTTCGTAAGGACTGTTATGGTGACCCACGCGTATCAATACTCAATTTATCGTTATAATATATCAGTGAAAAAATATTTTTAACAATCAAATATTTTACAAAACAGCATCGGAAGTATTGCGTAATGCAATATTAATATGAATAGTAATATTTGTGATAGAATAATGTACCACGTTTTCATTTTAAAACCCTGTTAGTAGATGCAGCCAAATATATTTCTCATGTCAATCTTCTATACTTGAAGTTTGCATAGATTCTTCTAGTATACGACTCTTCTGCGGCGGATAATAAATCGTACATTTTACAATATGAATACGAATCATAGGCGTGCTAAGAGTGTTTATTATCCCTGAAATAAAAATTGACCCCTTTCCAATAAGTTTCATGAATTAATATCGCGTATTACGCACCGTTTTTATATATTCGCTTTGGATGAATTGCGAATTCATTATTTATATATTCCACACCTGTCCGTAGAAATCGCGCTCGCGTGGAGACCAACGTGATATCGAACAGACGAACGGTTTGTCTCGTCAGCTTTGTTGTTATAGGTTTCGTACTATATAATAGGGTCGTTTGACAAATCGTTAAAATCGTAACATATCGCTAATGACCCATGCACCACCCTTCCGTGGACTGTACTCATATCGTAACATGTACAGCAAATATATAGTATACCACTGTATATATTTAACGACTTAACGGTAATAATATTTTTCTCTAATTTACGCACGCACGTGTCCGCGATCTATTTTAATATAACCATATACGCAAACAGGGCACGAGGTACGAAGCGGTTCTATATCGAGGCTTAATTTATAGGGAACTATTGGTTATTCGCTGTGCCATCTTCGCCAATCTCTTTTATGTTCTATACCCGTTTCATGTATGTTATGGTATTTTTCCATCCGTTACTCCAATAACGATAATATTAACTTTTGATTTTAACACAATTGCTCGACTAGTCGTTTTTGTTTGTTTTTGGCACAGGATAGTAATGGGAAAATGCCTTAACTATGATTTACGTTTAATTTGAGATAATACTCGGTCTACTCTTCTCTCCTCTACGCCCTATCAAAACTATAAACAGTTGTGTACAACTATAAACCATTACTCTGATATTAGACACGAACACATCGATAATATTACGCCCGCTCTGATACCTTAAAAATGAAATTCGTTCCTAGGCCTTTTACGTAACAATAACGGGATGAACACGGTTATTTCAAAAACAACAAAGTGTACAGGTCTGATCGACCGTACCTTACCGCAAGACACGGGTTCGCGTTCTACTTCTCGTCCTGTATACATGTACAGGTACGAGTATGTTACGCGTATGTCTTGTATATACATGTGCGTGTGTGTGTATTTCGTAAGGATGAAATCTTTCTTTTGCCCAGTTCGTTCGCCTCCGGGCCGAATCGCAGACCGCACGTGCATAGGGTTGGCCAAACTCCCCTCCTCCACCACCACCACCCTCCGCAGGAATGAGAAGAAGGGGTAGCCATCGCCGCCGTTGCCGCCACCACTGGCACCACCAATCGATAAAAACCTAACGCGCATGTTAAATATACACTCACTCAGATACACACACACACACGCGCGCGCGCGCGCGCACGTATACACAACAGGATGAAGCGCGCGTGTATCAGTGCCAATAATGTAACCGTGGCGAATTGCATTCTTCATTCAGACCGTCCGGCGTACGGATCGTCGCCTGAATCCCGTCCGGGCGATAACGACGAGAGGCGAAACCGATTTTCCTTATCAAAACGCATTTGGAAGACGGGCGATGTGATGAATGGGTTGCTCAACACGTTGAAGAACATTGCCAGTCTCAGTGAGTACATCATGATGATAATATAGGTACACATGCGTGTCACACGAACGGTAATGGTTTATTAGTAGGGCTCGGAAGTTGATGCATTTTGCATTTTTTTTTTCGAACTTTTTAGAAGATGCTATTCTGGCAACAAATGTGTTTCATTAGCATGTGAATCCAAATAACTAACTTTTATTTTGCATTTTTTTGGTATTTGTTACTTTTTAAGTCATTTTTTGACATTTTTAGTTAATTTTTCCACATTTTTAGTCAATTTTTCCACATTTTTAGTAAATTTTACTGATTTCACACTAGTTCGTTTCTTATTGTTATTGATCATTATGCCGATAACTTAAGACTTGTCCGATTTTATCTCGTCGATTACATTCGTCGTTGTCGTGTTATATTGCAGCGGTTCCCAACCCATGGGCCGCGAACCATATTATACTAACATAACTTACATATATTTTTAAAATATTAAATATCAGCAAGTGGAAAAGATTCGTTGATTGAACTTTCATGTGATCAGACTCTAAAATAGTTTTATAAAACTACTTCATTATTACCATTCTAGTTAAATATTCGACAAGACTTTCCAGCAATCTCTAAAATTGCATTTAGAAACTTGATGGGCTATATTTCGACAACCTGTGTGTTTGTGTGAACGAGCTTTTTCTACTTCAATTTTTTTAAAAAATAAATATAGGAATAAATTGAATTTTGAAAGTGATTTAAGGCTAAAACTTTTCAGTTTTAATCCAGATATTGATTCTCTCGTGGGGGCCAATCAAAAATCACATTAAATTGTTCAACTCTTGAATAATCTGGTTCAATGAAGTTTTTTTTCAATGAACAATTGTTTTTAATAAATAAATTGTAATAACTAACGTATGTGCGCTTTATAAATATATAGCTATTGCTGAGCATCAAAGATTTTTACGAAATTAGTGGTCCACACTTCTAAAAAGGTTGGGAACCGCTGTTATATTGAATAGTATTATAACAAAATTTATTATTTTTTCCTAATATTCGATTAGCATCCGATATTATCTCGTCGATTACAGTTATCGCTTCATTGTCATGTTATAGTGAATAATACCTATTACATCTAAATTTTATTATTTTTTTTGTAATATTTTCGAAATGGCGAAAATTAAAACATCGGTTAATGCTCGTATACGTCTCCTAATCACTTCACTTCAGTGGACGTGGAGAGAAATTTTTCCAAATATAAATATTTATAAACAGATAATCGTCATTGATTTACTTTTGATAACATCAAATACGCTCTAATCATGTAATGTAATGATTTTAATTTTTGAGTAATATGTAATCTTTGATAAATGTACAAAATAAATAATTGTAATTTTTTTATTTCATATTTTAAGGATATTTGTGGTCATTTTTATATCATAATTAGAGTAATTTGTAAGTTTTGACAAATGTGTATAGAATATAAAATAGAGTGCAATATTAAGAAAAAACTATATTTTTTTTAATATAAAACAAATATTTGTAAATTTTATAGGTCATTTCCTAATGTTTTTAAGGTCATCAACTTCCGAGCCCTAGTTATTAGGCATGTGCGCATAGCTTGTGAAAAAAAGTCATATCACAGTGTAATGTGATACGTTGATAACATACGCGAACGAAATTAATATTCTTCGTGAATATCCAATGATATGATGTACATTTACTATTTTAAATTCAATTAAATCGCGTACGTTTTTGGTTGGTAATTTGAATTTTAAATGATTATCTTTTTATATAATTTAAGCTTAAAGGAAGCTTAAACTTACTTAAGCTAAAGGAAAATTTCAAAGGTACATTATTTTGGTCCACGACTAAAATTGGAGGCAAGATATCGAAAAAAAATATTGTGGGGGTATACACTGACGTGACTATGTTTTAAATTTATCTGACGAACAATGATATTTAAAAAATTGTCATATTTTGATGCGCAGGTATAATTTAATAACGTGTTGTTTTCAAGTAAGGCGAAATTTGAAATACTAAAAAAAAAAAAACGATTTTTGACCTGACGCATGTGTATAACCGATACAACAGAATTCAAACGCTTTTCAGTCGTAATAATGAAAATCATTGGTAACACGATTTCAGCCGAGTTTTATTTTGTTTCATTTATCTGTTTGTCTGTAAAAATTAATTTGCGAAAAAAACTCTCTCAAAAGATAAACAATATATTATTACGGTGTAAACTTTTTTATTAAATAAAGTTTTTGTAAAACACACATACATATATTTAATATGAAGCCATTAAAGTGCGTGTAATGGATAATACAACAATTATTTGTTGTTAAAAATTGCGACTTTACACGCCCGTACAGTTTATCAAAACGATGCTTTCTCTTATATTTCTTTGGTCGACGGGCTATAAAGTCGGGCACACAATGACGTCCTCATTATTCATGAGACGCTGTGCTTAACGAATTACTCGCGGCTTAAGCTGGTGTACACGTTACCAAGGATCGTTGTTCACTCTGATATGTTGTTCATGCGACAACGTGATGCACGTGTATATAACACACGGTGGCGGTGGTGACGTCGTCGTTACAAAACAATTCGTACGCGGTAACGTAAGTAATGTGCAACATAAAAGCGGTAGATCGAAACAAGATTTGACGCCAGACTGATTTATTAAACCACACGTTATTAAAATTAGTACCTACTGTAATCGCGAGAACTTTGGCCCTTACACTCGGGGGTTAATCCCGTTAATTTTTTCGACGACACGTATTATACGCTACGAACACCGTTGCGGAATGCCATGCACGCGAAAATGTCATTTGCGTGATTTACGTTAAGCGATTTGCGCGTACAGACCTCGAAGTATCGGCTTAACCCGACAACGAGTTGACGCACATCATTTTACACGAAGTGCATCGTCCGTGTAGTTCGCCGCGGTGTAGCTTTCAAACTGCAATGTAAACAGATGTCTTTTTTTCTTTTTTTTTTCTATATATCGTTCACTCAACACCTTTTATTCACGGATAATTTAACCATTACAGTCGCTTCGTATTCTCCAGAAAATCACTCGGTCGCGCGTACAACAAACCGCCGACAGCGTCGAACCGAAATAATTGGACGGAGGGAATAATCGTAAAAGAGTGTCATACGCGTCGCGCCCAAGATTTCATTTTTTTTTAGTCTCGTTGATCGAACATCGGCATTTCGGATCAACTGCTGTACTTTTTCCTATGGATATTACAATCAAACGTCGCCGGACGCAATCGAATTTCAACGCAAATTATTTCTGAGGAACAATTTCCAAATCCTATCCGCAGTCGTGCTAATGTTATCTGCAGGTTCGGCGGTATAGCGAGTGTTCCAAATAAACGGTAGTGATACATTTTTAGGTATTCAAATGATCAAACAAATTTTCAACAATGCGATGTGACGGAGCAGAAAAAAAATGATACATTGAAAGTCTGCAGATATACTGTTGTATCTTCATACGTTGTTTATTTAATTATGAAAAACACGATATATTATTTCAAACTTAAAGGATGCGCACGTTTAAGGATACACTTGGGTATTTACATGCATACCAACAATTCTTTATATAATATTATATAAATATACTGTAATAACATTTATAAAAATATTAATATTTTATCTCATTTTAAAATATTACAGAATTACCAAATAAATAGTATATTATTTTTCATTGTTGTTATTTAATAACTGTCGGGTGGGCTTAAACATATTTAAACATATTATACTTATTTCATTATGCATATGCGTACTATATACTCGTATATTTTAATATGCGTATATTCATTAAATAATTATTCGCAGAATTATTAGTTTTTAATTTAACTTCCGTTTACGAATGGTTATAAAGTAAATTATTTTATATTTAATATTAGTTTCTGTTTTTTAATGTTTTTACCGTTGTTGCACTTTTTGTTTTATTTTAATTTACTTTTTTAACTTTTTTTTTTTTTGATATTTATACCCACTCTTAAATTCAGAACACATTTAATAAATGACAAACAAAGTAACGAAATAATTCGTTTTAAATTGTAAACCATTTATAAAAAGTTTTCAAACCTTCGAAATACATTTTAAATAAATTTAATGCACACAATAACGTAAAATGAGATCATCCCAAAATAAATCAAAAATACTTAAAATTGTTAAACAATTATTGTTCATTTCTACTTTGAGGAGTGCCAGAGACATGGACCTCCATTATAATTAATTTCTCCAATAAACAACTTCTTATACATATATACTAAACTATAACATAACATGATATGCAATAAAATCACGGTATCAATAACAAAAATCCAATGTAATTTTCTAATATGTATATTAAATAAATTAATATAAATATTAATTCTTATATTGATTTAATGATACGGTTTGTGCTAAACACTTTTTGAACAAGTGAAAAAATTATGTATTATTCGCATTTATAGTAGTCTCTCTTTAGATATAAAATTAAACACAAATTGTACTTTAAACAAATCATTGTTAGCGAATCTCAACAAAAAATTTACGAACGACGAATAAATCCGTACCAGAAAATGACAAAAAGAAGAAAATTATAACCCCGGCAACAAATATAACGATCTCGTATATAGTTGGTACATGAGTATATTATTATAAATATAATATGAATAAATGCGGTATCAGTGGCATACATGATATAAGAGGCTCACGTCCCAACATACGATTTCAAGGAAAAAATGAACTCATCCGGAAAACGCTTTGTATAATGCGTAATATTAATCTATACCTCGTTTAGGACTGATATTCAGCATTTATCTATATACAATATATATATATATATATATATATATATATATATATATATATTAATACTTGAGTAATAAACCCTCTAAGAATAATTCCTCTTCTTGGGCCAAATTAATTTGTAGGAAATAATAGCCCTTAGAGAAGATAATAATTCCGACATATACACTGCTACGTTTAGAGTTTCAAAACATTTTACTGGCCGTTCAAAAATATTCGAATGTTGTCAATGTAATAAACTTGAACATGAAAATGATACTTACAATTTTCTTCAAAATGTATTGAATAGTTGTAGATTACCTATTTTACTCAGAGTCACGAAATGTTTAAGGGTGCAAACCTTGCAATAAGCCTGCAAAATAAAACTAATCGTTCTATTCGTTATGGAATGCCATAAAATAAAAATCGCAATTTGACCGATTTAGCTTTCACTAAACCGAAATTAAACGATATATTCAGCCTGTATGTTCAAACTTAAACGTGAAACGGGACGAGTGTTTTTAAAAGAAAAGTGTTGTGATCAAATATTTACTCAAATGACAGCGCAGCAGCGTCGGTATCGATGGTGTTGATCTGTGTAAACCTAGTGTTCATTTTTTTTTTTTTATTATTATTATTATTGAAACCAGACATAAATTACTCTACGACGATTGTAAATCGCATTGATGTATTCACGTGACGCGATTGAAATCTCACCGATGTTTTTATCTGGCCTCGCGGAACGACAGTTGGTACATATTCGTAAATAGAACCGAATCGCATTTCGTCGTCACGTCTGCCTGTACCTATCGCACTCGAGCACACCTATCGTAATCATTTATCACCGAACATTATGTTAAACACGCGAACAACGACAATGGTACACACAACAACCGTACACGGTATGCGCATTTGTACGTACGCCAACGCGTAACATTGTATACGTGTGTGTTTTAATTATGTAATTACGTTGCCGTGATAGTGATTAACGGTGAGAAAACTGCGTTTAGGCGAAGACACCAAAATGAGATTCAACATGAAGCCGGGCCCCGGGGACAGTGACTTCGAACAGTGGCAGAGCGCTATGAAAATGGTCGCAAGACTTCCGGACGGCGTGCCGCACGAATTCCGTAACACGGTGCGTACACATCTTTACAATACAATCTATACCTACGCGTCATTCACACATAATATGTATATCTTATATTGTAAGAGAGAAATTTATTGTTCATCTGTGCCCGTCCGATAAACGCGTCAACCAGGGGCGGGTTTTATCACTCACCAAGGGAGGGGTTAGTGGAGGTTCAAGAATTTAGTTAGTTGTTTTTTAAATATATGTAAAATTTTAAATTACAGAACATTCTTTTAAGTCCCTCTCATAAATAAGTAATTTTTTTCACAATAGGGACAAATTTTAAATTATTAATTTATTATTTCGGTATCTATTTTAATCTGAAACCATTTTAAAAATATAGGTACACACATATAATTAACAACAAAAATGAGCTATTTGTTTATAAAAAATATATATAAATAGGTACCATATTTATCAATGACGATTGACGATATTTTATAACAATTATTAATATATTAATTATATAATCGTAATACTTGGCTTTGTAAAATAGTTAGCTTAGTCCCAAGGGGGGGGGCTAATGCCCCCTTAGCCACCCCATAAAACTCGCTCCTGGCATTAACCCACTTATTAAATCACGTTGTTCAATAAGAATAAAAATAAAAAAACACCGATAAAAAGATTTTATTAATTTCTCTGTTCCCCGTTTTGATAAACCGATGACAGACTGTACATCCCATCACTTTCCAGCGAATATCGTGAGCCTCTGATCCCTCTAACCACGTTCCACACCATTAGTTTTAAAATGTACAGATACGCAACAATTGGTAGTAGCACCTGTGGACGAAGCCACTAGACGTCGTTGTTATCATTTACGAGCAACTTAACGAAAACAGGGTTACAAAAATGGAAACAATATATCTATAAAGCTTTTCGCTGCTGAAAACCTGTTTTTTATCAAGTGGAAAGCAAACTATTACAGTGACGTCTAATGTTTACGTCTACGTGTGCAGGTGTTACCAATTTAAAAAGTAGGATAATATGTACCTTAAATGTATTATATAGAACCAACGCCCGCACACAGGTGAAAATAGGAATTTTTATGCCCAAGGAAAATTTTAAAATTATATTCTATCAGAGACCAAGAATCAAATACCCTTTTCGACTTTACCAATTTTTTTCTAATAATTAGCCTACAATCATACTTATGGAGTTTTAAACACATTATCAGTAACAAAGTTATAAACATCAAACTAGTAGTCAATTATAGATAAAACAATACAACAAATTACACCCCAATAAATGTTTAGTCAAGAGTTGAATCCTCGTCTTCCTCCCCCTAATTTCGCCCCTGCCCACATATAACCGATGATGATAATGTAATATACACATTCGCTTCCGTTTCGCGTTATAGTTATGGCTGACACTAGCGGAAAAGTACTTGAAGTCCAGGAATGTGGAGTGGGCCAAAGTGGAACGGTTTTGCTTCAACGACACGACCAATCCAGACGACGAAGAGCTCGGCGTGCAAATCGTCAAGGATCTGCACCGGACCGGGTGCAGCTTGTTCTGCGGTTCTTCCGGGCTAGAAAACCAGGCTTTGCTGAAACGTGTGCTGCTGGGTTTTGCCCGGTGGAACAAAGCAGTCGGCTACTGCCAGGGGTTCAATATGTTGGCCGCACTCATACTGCAAGTGATGGAAAAAAACGAATCAGACGCACTTAAGGTTAGTTAACAATACAATCGCACGTCGTCAACGTTCGCGAAACAAATATCACGTGTACCACTTTTTGTCGTTTTGTACTGTAAGCATGTAAAAATACAAATAAGAAAAAAAGAGGAATTTCTAGGCTAGATAAAACGTCATGGTTAGGTGATATATAGGGATAGGTAAGTGTTATTGTTGTGTTGGTTTTAAAATTTGAATCTAATGTATCATTGCTGGTGACGTATATATATAACTGTGCTTACACCAGAGGCTCAAAGTTCTATAAAAGTCGTATTTTTATTCTAACTTCAAACAAAACTTTTTCTTTATACTTTTTAAAGTTTATTGTTTAATTGAATACACAACGTATGAATTTATTTATAAAATTATTCGTGAAAAGAGCGCAAGGGAATTCGTTTTAGAAATTTCATATGAAAAAATTATCAATGAATTCACTAGTCCTTAAATTAGAAAAACAATTTTTAATAGTTTAAAATTTACATTGTAAGAATAGTAAAACGTTTTAATAAGGTAAGTGAACATTTAATATTTTAACTTTTGCAACTAAAAAAAAGTCCTATAAAATTTTATTAAAATATTTCAAAACTTAGAAATTACTGAAATAATTGATATCGTTTAATGGAAATTTGTTTTTTGATTTCATGAAAATTTCATTTTTTTTAACACCTATAAATTATTTTTACGACTTTCCATTAGTTCTTTTTTATTGACTACAAATAACATTATATAAAAATATATTTTTGTTTTTTTTATTTAAGCGCGCAGCTAGAAATTTCTAAGGGGGGGGGGGGTATTATTCAAAATAAATTGACAACATTATACACACGAAATTGATTACTTTACGTATATTTAACCCAGCGTTAGTCGCACCACGGTCCTTTTTGACCGCGTTATAATTTTCTAGAATATAATTATAAAAAACGTTATTTCGTAACTTTATTAAGACAAATCAATTTTCATACAACTTTAATAACTTATTAAATTATTTACAGAGAAAAAAATTGAAACTGAAAGTACTTCCTTACATATAAATTGGGTACCTAATTTAAAAGAGCAATGTACGATTTTTATTTAAATTTGTATACTGTATATTATGTATTTATGAGTAACTTAGATGAATAAATAAAATAAATAATAATATAAATAAGTCCGGAAATGTTAGTCTAATAATAACCTAACCGGCAATGTTAGTCGTAATAATAAAAATAATAACATCATTAGTCGCGATTAGGTCGAAATGCCCGCAATTAATGATATATCACTTTATCTTAATTTATTCTATACGTACGAAATTAAATATACTTGGAATATTATAATATCATTTTTAATAACATTATTGAAAGGTATACCGAATATCAATGGTTAAAGTATAAAACATAAATGTTTTATTAAACATGTAAAAAAAGTTCGGTCATTTTGGTCATAGCGCGACTAACGCCGGGTTAAATTTTTCACATATGTATTTTTATAATTAATACAAAAAAATATATATATATATTTTTAATTAAATTAACTTAATGCGTCTACTTTTTAAAGCTAGAGTATCTATTATTTCGTCGGTGGTTACAACTAAATCCCGATGAATATTTATAACTGTTAAGCCGTTCAACCGATTTTCACCAGTTATGTTCCTCAAATATGTTTTTAAGCGCCGTAAAGAGGAAAAAGATCTTTCACTGCTTGCAATGGTTATTGGTAAAGTAATCAATATTTTTAAAATTCGATGAATAATAGGAAATATTTATTATTGTGTATTGCCGAAAGTACAACAGTCTACGAGTATCCGACTACAAAGTTTTGTTTCGGAGTTTAAAGATACATTTACATTCGATGGACATGTTTTATTTTGTGTACTTTGTGGTAATTTTTTTTTTAATGCATATAAATGCATATTATAATAATTTTAGAAGCATATTTGTGTATTCTTTAGAGCTATAAGTTCCCAAGCCTAGTACTTATTAATTCCGGGTCCCGACTTTAGTGCTTTACATTATTATTATCGTAATATATATTTCATTTTGATAAATAAGTGTAAATCACGGCTTATGATGCATCTTTATCTTTATAAAACATATTAAGTATACCACGGCTGAGAGGGGTTGTTACTACACCTGTAACACCCCCACTGGCTAAACTCCTGCTTTTATTATTTGGTTTAATTTAATATTTAAGGGCTTGTAGTTTCTTTGAAATTAAACTAGATTTTTTCTTTAATTAGCAATATAAATGTACTTACAAGGAACTTAGTGTTACATTTCGAGGAATTTTATTTCATGAACTTTCTTAAAAAAAACTAAGAAAAATTATAATTTTAATTCTCTCTAAATGGATCAAACTTTTTTTTTTTAATTATAACATCCATAGCAAATTATGATAAGAGAATACAGTGGAAATTGACGATTATTATTTTGTGTTACGATGAAAACGAAAATTCGAAATGATCGAAAACCGGTTTACCGTAAATATATTTGATTTAATTTAAAACGTTTCGTCAGTTTTTCTCAAATATTATAAAAACCGTAGGGAATTCACAAAATGCCTTATTACAAATTAACAATAAGAAAACATATTCGATCAGAGATCTCTAATGATTGTGATGATCGGAGTTATTTTTGCACTTGAAATCGTGTACACATCACCTCAAACGTAGTACGAAAATCATATGTGACAATATTATTTACCGTCTCGCATCGCTGAGTCGACAAATACTCTGACATTTCACCGTGCACACTTGTACCGTTGACGTAAGAAGCGCGTATTGTCAACTTAGCGGTAGCGGCGGCAACGATTGAACGTTATTATATTGTTTTTGTTTTTATCTTTCAGGTTATGATATATTTGATCGAAGGCGTGTTGCCGGAAGGGTACTTTGCCAACAACCTCAGAGGATTGTCCGTCGACATGGCCGTGTTCAGAGATTTACTGCGCGTCAGACTTCAAAACCTCTCAAGGCATCTGGACAGGTTGCAAACCGAATCAAAAGACTCCGGTAAGTACATGAACCTCCGTCACCGTATACTGCTGTTGTAGTCAATCGCGTTTTAATTGCATGCTATTGAATATAGGAACCAGCTACGAGCCGCCTCTGACGAACGTGTTTACAATGCAATGGTTTCTCACGTTGTTCTGCAACTGTCTTCCACAACGCACGGTGCTCCGGGTCTGGGATCTGATATTCCTCGAAGGGAGCACGGTGCTATTAAAAACCGCTCTAGCCATCTGGGACGCATTGTCCGAGTGAGTATAACGCAACGGCCATTCTGCAGTAGTAAACATCGTTAAACTTCCATTGTTGAAATTCGACAAGCTCACGGATACTTGAAAACTGGCCGATCTAAAACATTAATTGCGGTGACCCCACGTCGATGTTTCAGATTTTACATCGAGGCCGTATAGTCACTACGCATATGATGACTGTTCAAAAAATATTCCGCTAAAATTCTTATTATAATGTAATTTTATATTCTAGTGGTATTTTATTGTTGAGTATTTTTTTTTAAATAGCCATTTCAACAATATACATATATATTCATATTCATTGCATACCGTATACCCATAATCCCTTCGTAGGAAAATAATTTTAATTGCATTTCATAATTTAAATCCTTATTAAGACCAACAGAATTTAATTACAAACAAAAAATCTAATTTTACATTTATCCAACTCATTAGCATAAGTCATTGCTGCAGTTACGTTTTTTGATAAGTACTACGAACTATTTACAAAGTTTATAATCGTATTACCCTATTTAACAAGCATAATAGCAATTTATTGCATACTTTGAGATTTTCACCATCAAAGCATTTAATATTTGTATTATATATTATATTATACATACATACTGCGGATAATTTCTAATTAACAAAAAATTAACATTTAGTGTTTTTACGTGAGTTGAAATTTATACGTAGCAGTTATATTTTGCTGCAGAATAAGACAAAAATTAATTAAATAGTCCCAAATCGCAGTACGGTATGAATTTTCTAAACTCGAACAATGGTTACATACAAATCGCAACGTTAATAGTTATAAATTTAAGTAGATACGAGGCTTAATGCAGACCAACCAAAACTCGCAATTACTTGAGAATTTCATCTTGATCGCATCTCGTTGCGATGGTATTTCAGTACTCGCGACGTATTATTGCAAAATAATAATATATAATATATTCAGAATAATATTACGTAATACTTTACCTTGCGCAATTCAATATAGATATAAAAATTCGCTTTTCAATATGTATGTATCTTTTTTTTTTCTAATAAAACGCTTTTCAAACATTCTTCTAATAAAATTGGTTTGCTCTAGCCGAATAATGACTGTGACAAGTGCAGACGAATTTTATAGTATTATGGCTGTCCTCACCAGAGAAATGCTCGAGTTCGGTTTAATGGACGCCAACAATTTAATCAATGTGAGTATAAACGATTGTCGTTGATACCAATATTTGAACGGGACCGCGCACATCGCTTTCATATTATTATTTGTTTTGTTCGTTTGTGCACAAAAAAGCGTATAATAAATTATAATACAATACGCGTGCATCGATAATTACATATTAATTATTATTATTATTATAACTATTATCGTCATCATATTCTGCCACGCAGACAATCAGTACGATGAATGAACTGGTTGAAGTCAAAGAACTCCGTGAAAGATACATGTACAACATAAACCCGTGGGTCAGCCACATGGCGAAACGGGGACTGAGGTTGTTCTATACGGAGTCCGATGTGGAGGAGACGGATAGCGATGACGATATCGACAGTAAATCGACGGTGGTCGTCGCGAGCAACGACACATCGAAGACAAGAAGTAAAACATTTTCGCTACGCGCTACCGACGAAAACATATACTGGATTTTTTATCAAACGCGTTTGTATTTTTAGATAGCAAAACTGGCAGAGGTAACAGACAACCGACTCCCAGTCTGGAGTCTGAAAGAGAGAAAGTAGCACTTGATATATCTTTGCTGAAGAAGCAGTACAGTAAGCTTAAAGAAAGGCAGAAACAAGTTCAAGTGATTTTAACAGGTAAACCACGATGATACTGCAAAATACTAGTATTATATTATCATTTATTCGGGAATTACCCATTTACACCAAAAAAAAAATAATTAATTCATTTTGGATACAGCCCATTTGCGTTAAATTTACCTGCATAAACATTTTTTCATTAACGACTTGGTTATTCATATACAGTACAGATATTGAGTACAGAATATTCCAACTTCCATTATACGAACCTTCTTTTATCCAGTTTCATTATTCGTTTCAAAATAATTATAATAAAGTAATACATTTTTTTCCTCAGATAATAATTAAAAAGTCATAATAATAATACTAATAATGATAATCGATACAATTTTATTTAAATTATAGTCTATTTTAGTAATTCTACAATTTTTTTTTTTTTTTAATGATAATCAATAAAGTCGTTGATATAAAATGTTAACAAAGGTAAATTTGGTGCTAATGGGATGTCAAAAATAACATACTTTTTTTATTTTGGCGAAAATAGGTTATACCAGTGCTTCCCAAATTTTTTCGACACACGGTGTCCTTTAAAATTAATTAATTTTTTTTGATGCAAATGGGAGATGCCCATTTATTTAACGTTCTCCAATATCATATCGCTAGGGTAGGGTAGTTTAACATTTAATGGCAAAGATGCTTCGCTACTTTCGAAAAACAATTTTAAGCAAATCTTACAATAAAATATTGATAACCTATTAGGAATTTATTGAGTCGTTTGAAGCATTTTATTGATATATACCAGTATAGTTTGAATACTCGTACATCGTTTGAGTACTATGTAACAATACAACTACATTATACGCTTGTATCACAATTTCTAGCACAAAAGTTCTAGGGTTACTTATTTTGACCAAATAAATATAAAACGAAAAAACCGCATTCACCCAGGGAATTTTTTTTTTTTCATTCTTAATCAATATATTTTCTCCGACGGAAAACATTGAGAAAATTGAAAAATAACTTTTCAAAGTAAATACCGTCTTTATCTAATTTCTAATCTAATATGACGCTACGTGAAACCTGTGGTGCCTTTTTCCTATCCGAAAATGTATAAGCAGAAAAAATAAAGAAAACACCATACTATAAAACAAACAATAGGCATTTCTCGTTTTATTCAGAATCTAAAAAACTTAACATCAAATCAATATTCAAATTTTTCATTTTTTTCATTCAAAATCATTCGTATCGAGACATTTTTTAACATTTGAAATTACTTTTTAGAACATAGCGCGTTGCAAAATCGCGTTTGAAGAAATCTATGTAATTACATGTACATCGGACGAAACGTCTTTAACCTAACATTTTCACTGTATTTTAGTCAACGTTTTTATTGAGTACAGTCAATAAATTATTTATGCATAACACTATACGACCGTAATAAAAGACAATATTTAATTCTATATTTTCGATTGACATCTAATGTTTAAAAATAAATTTCATTTTTATTTTTTACAGCTGCCTGTAATGGACAAAACTTTATCAGTACGTCCAATTCTTCAGCAATGAATCATTTATTATTTGGCAAAACGGCGCTGCGGTGCACTTCCATCGGACCCATACCTGGCTCCATACCTTTGAAATACATACAGGACGTCAAAAAGCCTGAAGTCAAAATAGGTATTATATAAATATTAAATATTTTTTGTAAAACTATAGCCGTGTATAACACTAGTGACTTAATGTGAAATATCATGGATATCAGTATTCAGTTACTACAGAAATATTCAAACTTTACTATTCAAATGTCGTATTTGGAGTTTGTGATAGTTACGTCGTTTGATTTCGTATCAGTAGTACATATTTTATGTAATATTCAAGCAATTTGAACGTCAATACATTCATTGTTTCATTGATTTTCAACTGATTCTAAATATTTTCTTGTTGTCCTCCTTAAAAAAAAAAAGGCTTGCCGAATATATTGTAATAATTTTTCGTAAATTTTAATATCCGAAGCGGACTCAGAGCGATACTTTCGTGATGATATAATATTGAATAGTAAAAGGCAAAAAGAACTAAGCGAGATTCTAGGGCTTAACAACATAATGTACACCAGCGGTGGAACTGAGATAATTTTTTGAGGCCCTATTATATCTGTAATCCAATTTTTTAAATATCAGGCTGTTTATTTGTATAAAATAAAAATAACAAGCGTACAAACGACGTCTACGAATAGAAATATAAAAGTTGGGGCTAAGCAGTTTTTTTTTAGAGTATTTTCGACACTAATGAAAATTATGTCCGCAGAGAAACAACAGCATAACACTTGTTCTCAACTCTTATAATGTTGACAATATGAAATACATTTAATGCGATACTTATCATTATATGTAATTATAATTTGATTTTTGACATAATATTACACTATTCCTTATAATAATGAAATTTTGACAATTATATCATACAAATAGTTTAATATTATGACTATCTGCTACCACAAAAGTAATTAATGAGACAGATGGTGCACTCTTAAACCGAAAAAAATATTATAAAAATAAAGATTAAATGGTGTAGTTATGACTTTTTACTTGTCCGGCTATTGAAGGAGGACTTCGTTTTTATGAATCACACTAAGCCTAGAAAATCATAGAACTGATACTTATCAACATTATATTATGTGATGAACAATAAGAGTAGAAACCAAGCGCCATATTGTGTTTTCCGCTCAGCAAACACAGTTTTCGTTAGTATCACATGTATTGAAATTTATACCAGTAGATTAAATATTTTATAAATTATGAAACACTGTAGCACTTGTGAAATCAAATACTTTAACCGTCGGTTATCCCGTGGCATAAACCATGTCGCTTATTTTACTTTTTACCGGTCGATATTGTAAAGACATATGTCAATACATCGTTAGCTCTGTACATTATGCAGAAGCGGTTGTGTTTTTCATACATTAAATGTGCTTGAAAAAATAAACATTTGTGTTTATATTAGAGTGTAGAGATTTTCAGAAGTTGTGACGATAATATTACTCTTCATATTTCAAAAGTGCATTAAAAGTTTGGTGCCCGAACTTTATTGGTTGCAATTATACAGGTTTGATCGATTAGATTGTTAAAATTCTCTCCGTTGTTTTCAACCAAACCAAATTAATTCTGAGTTATCAACATTGGGTCACAAAATATTTTGTACGACTGTTAGTAAACTAATGACAAAACAGATATCTTAATTATCAAAATATATTTATCAGAATTGAGTTTAGCAGAATTGCGTTTAAGTATACGATAAAATTATTAACCATGTTATTATGATAAAGCATACTTACTAGGTTTTTTTTTCTTCTCAAATATTTAATCTATATGTATATTCAATACAAATTACATTTGTGAGCCGCCCTAGCATAATGGTTGAAAAACACTGATCTACAACATATATACGTATGTAAGAGTGTTTCATTGACTTCAAAATACAACTTGTAGTGGGTGTTGGTTGATTAAACATTCTTGTTATGAAATCAAATTTATAAATCATAATATGCGTATAATTTCCAAGCAAGGAATATGATATAAGGTATCCTATTACGTTATGAAAAAAAAATCAAATACGAAACAGAATTGTGTGATCACATATTTATATTTTCATAGGGCATCCCCCCCCCCCCAAAGCACATTAGTTCATTATTGATTTTTCCCTTAGAACGGCATGTGGGTCGGGGGTGGTGTGTTAACACCTAAAACACCCCTTTTGCTTGTGGGTATATTTTATTGTAACCCATCATCGGTGTGCTTCAACGCTGTGCAGACTTATGTCCGTACGGAATAACATACAGTTTTCGATAACGTTTCAGACCCAAGAGTCGTCGAAAAACGTACAGTCTCGACGTCTTCGTCCACTTCGTCCACTTCTACCGAGCTCTGCGACGACCCCGCATCCGACTGTTCCAGCGAGCGGTCGGTCAAAGACAACGGCCGCGACGACGGCGACACGTGCAACGACTGTGATAGGAACCAGATGGGCGACGATGTGAAATCATGCTATGACTGTGATAGGAGTTGGACCGAGGACGGAGCCGATGACGTGGTAGGACCGGTGGTGGAGAAGCAGTACAACGACGTTGTCGAGGACGACCAGGAAGTTGACGACGTGAGCCTTGCCGAAATGTTGCGAGCCAACTCGGAACTGTTGGACCGGATGTGTAGAGGAGACGGCGAGGGCACGTCGGTGATCACGCCTCCGGAGAAGACGTCCGTGGTTGACTTGGAAGATCGGTTACCCGATTTGATCAACGACATCGACGTTTTCAGCGGGTCCTTGGTAACGGCCTCAGAGCCCAAGTCCGGAGGCTCGTTAGCCGACGTGTCCTCCGGGGGTTTGGACGGAGAATCACGGTTGTCGCCGACGCAATCGGGAGCAGCAGAAGACAACGACTTCAGCGGCGACGATCGCGCCGTAACCGTGAAACCGTTCGATCCGTTTCCTTCGAAAGCCCGACAGCCCAAACGACTCAGCATTGAGTTGGGCCTGTACCCAGACAGTTCGAATTGATCGATATAAGTTATTCTTCCTTTTTCGTCAATAGTTCATAACAAAAAATACAATCATCGTCTAAGGAATTTTTATAAAAAAAAAATTTTTTTCGTTTATTTTCGATAATAGTATCGTTATTTAATGTATTTTCTATATTTATTATTACTATAACACAGGTACTCGTATTGTTAAGAACGGCCACGTGACATTGACTCTTACGTTAGTACACGGGACTATGTTAAAGACCATTTGTCCATGTAAACGTTTTTGGAAATTTTACCACACTTGTGATTTTTTGTAAAAAAAAAAAAAAAATCTAAACATTATTTCTTCTAATATTTATAATACTCAGTTTTGATAACAATAACATGTTATTATTTAGAAATACGCATTACATATGTACATAGCTTTAAACGAAGATGCCAATGACCGCCGTCGATATTATCTAATACATTTACATTGATTATTATTTTTGTGTTTCGAAGTATTTTTATTAATAATATAATATAATATATATATATATATATAGATATATATATATATATATTTATCTATTTTATATAATACTATACAGGTTATGTCGAACATCATTATAACGTTTATTTTTTTGAGAATTTAACGAATGACAAAATATATAATACGTACGTGTATTGCTCATTCTTCGAAAATATATACATATACATATATTTACTGTTATTATTAAATACGTTATGTGATTAAACTATTTTAATAAATAATTGATTTAATATGATAAATTGTTGTACAATGAAGTATTTATTATAAAAGCAAACTTATTTGTTGGTTTGTTTATTTTATTTTTTATTTTTTTTTTTTTGTGTGAACAATTATTTGTAAACATATTTCCACCTAAAAAGTTCAACACATAATTACTATTTATTTCTTCACTAATGTAATAACACCGCAATTGTCAATACGATGAATTTTAAAGAAAATAAAACTTCTTTTTAAAAATAAATGCGTATAAAAATCAGCATTTTACACTAAATAATAATACGAATTTTAGTTTTGACATAATCAATAGCATATAAATAACAGATAAAAATAAATTTAAATTTAAAATTTAATAATAGATAAAAATATATTTAAAAGATTAAAAAAATTTTGATAATTCTTATAATGATAGCACAGTATTTATTCATTACGAATTCAATTATATTATAATTATATTATATTACGGGGGTACGAATACGAACAAAAAATTAACTATAATATATAAAAAATAAAGTTCAACTTCTAATTAAACACATTATGCATTATGCATTTACGGGATGTGATCAATAAACATAACACCTGTTTCATCAACCTCAATTTAAGTGAAAAGTTATCTAAACAGCCCTTTTCATAATCAAATAAATGTTGTCAAGAACACATATGTATAAGAGTCGGCCACCAACCACGTATTGCTACCCGACATTCTGTAAATGGTCAAAATATTTATAGTTTCAATAAATAGATAATAGATAATAGATACAATTATCGTGAACTAACGATCGTTTCAGCCATCAATTATATTCTTTCAGCATGTACACGTGTTGAGTTTATATATTTATCATCACGTGCGTTAATGTTTTCATAAAATTTACAAAAACCATATGACATAATTTGATTTCATAAAACGTACCATATTTTTAATCTAATTTTCATCCAAACCAAAGTGTACCCAATCCATCTGGCGATTTAAGAGTTCAGTGCATTTTCAGCGCAATACATTTTTCAGCAATGTTATGAATTTATTTGCTTAAGCTGAATAGTAAAAAATAGTATTAAAGTCTTCTGCGCGTAAACATATTGTTGTAAAACTATTTCTAAAAATAGATATAAATTACTAATGTAATGATTAATAAAATCTATTTGTACCAAATAACTCTTTCGTTCAGACGACTGATTAAAATATGTTAACTAGTAATAATTGAAAAGATTTTTTTTTCATCCTACTCATATTTCACACTAATATCATAGACAAGTCTCACAAATACACATGCAGGGTGGTTTTTTTTTTTTAATGAATTGCGTTTATTTAAAATATGCATTGAAATGAAAAGGTTAGGCGTTTTCATACACGTAGGAAAACCAAAAATTAAAATTACATCCCTAACGAAACATATGTATACATATACTTTTACATTATATTTTAAACGTACACATGTATGTATTAAGTTATATGTATAGGTGTTCGATAAAAAAAATTAATTTTTCATTGAATACTCATGCATCATATCAGTATAGTAAAATGAAATGAATTGCAAAGAAACTAGAAAAATTCCTCTTCGTATCATTTCGTCAGTTAGATAATGAAGCCATATGCTTATATATAGTTAGATAATAACCACTTTAGATTAAAGGTTGTTTTTCTTATTTGAATAACGATATTGTTCTACATCCTTTAAGGTATCTAATATTTAATTTCAGGACTCAACAGTCACATAAAATGCACAACAATTATGGATATATTTACTGGCTGTCACGTAACAATATTATTAAAAGCTGCAGAATAGTGCACTGTAATTTCCATTTTTAATTATTATTCGATTTAACCTAATTAATTTAGTATTATGTTTATTATGTAAGGTATTATGTATTTGGTTAATTATGTAATCCAATTAACAAACATATATCAACGTTCACTTTAGAGAGTAATTATTCATTATGTATATTGAGGAGAAGCCAATTCCAATTCAGTCCTTAACGAAACAATTCGGTATCATACCTGACACATTTGGACTCTCCATATAAAATTTAAATGTAAACAGCTCAATCAACGTTCTGCTTCAGCGTTTCTCGAACGAGGATACACGTACCCCCGGTGGTACGCGAAGATACAAAAGGGTACTCGGAGAAAAAAAGGTAATGGTAGATAATACAAAAATTTACGTATATGAATAAATAAATAATTTATGAAATATTCGATAACAGTCATTGTGTTTTTTCTTCGTACACTTTCATTAAAAATAAGTTTTGTAATAAGCTTTTTGTGAGTTGAGACTTACGAGTTAACTTATCATCAGCAAAATCAGATTTAAAAAATTAAGAGTTACCAAACAACTCTCAGGATCACATTAAAATTAAATTGTGAAATATAATCATATCGATTCTATGTGAAAATAAATAAGTTGACAGTAAGGGGTATGTAAAGCAATGGTGAGAAGTCAAGGGGTTCGTGAATGAAAAAAAGACGTGAAACGCTGCTCTACTTCATTTCTTAAAATTTCAAATGTGCCCCAAATTAAAAAAATGCTCAATTACAAATCTATTATTAAATATTATTATATTATCTAAAGTCCTGATGAATATTGCAACAATTATTGAATATACACGGTTGCAATTATAGGTTAGGTTATTTAGTTATTTTCAATTAGTTATTTTTACACATAAAGGTAAGATGTGGAAAAATGGAATAAATCTTAATTGTATCGAAAATAGTCGCGCGGTTTCATTGGTATGTCGTCCGTTAATTTTTGTTTTTATTAGTTTGTGTATTTAATCATTAACTTTTCTAAAACCGATCTGATTCTGTAATTATAAGTTATCCGGCTCAAGAATTTATTCAAATCCAAGGTGTATTAACCATCGTTGTCGACGTTCATCCAAACTGAATCATCAATATCCAAATAAGTTACTTACCTACACAAACTTGAATGTTTTTAATGACTAATTTTAAGTGCCTGCAGTACCTATCTTTAGTCATGGCCGATACTAGTCTTCCGTATTTTAATAAAAGTTAAATAAAAATAAATATGAAATTAAAATGTAATAACAATTAAAATGTAGTACAATGCATTAAATAGTAGTATTTTTCATAATCTTCATTTAAAATCAGTGATGAATAGATAAGGCTGAATATATTTGGACATTATCGTCGATTTTATTTAATTCATCTTCTTTTTAAAAAAAAAAAAAAAATTGTTATATTAACGATTTCGCGATTGTTCTTTTACCAAACATTTAATAAATATACCGATTGAATAAAAAAAAAATAATATTGTAATTCGTTTTTCGTAATACACGTGTAGATATATACACTATATGCGTGTACTCGAGTTCACGTGAAATTAAAATACAAGTGTACTAAAGAAAGCACGTGTACTTATGTACGTGATCCGTCTATTAGTTTAATAATACACGTGTATAAAAAAAAAATACTCGTTTCGTAATTGTAAATGGATATCATTTGTTGCACTAAAATCAATTGTTAGTAAAATTAAAAAAGCCCACTCCACTCGCCGGCGATCGTACCTCGGCAATTCAATTGAGATTACAGATTCCAGAAACTACGAGTAGCTTACGAACACTCACAAATTACATTTTAAGCCTTTTATATCGTTCCCGCTTCCGTAGAACAATCGAGGGTCTTATTCATTCGGATAGGTTCGGTTATGATAAAAAAATTCATAAAACACAGCCGTCTGTGTTTTTAGAAATTACTTTTAAACGCTCTCTGGTGACCTTATGTTTTTATGCCGTATTGCAACTTTACGTTTACACCACGACCTCCTGATCGCGTAACGTTTGAATTCTTATTCAAATATATATTTTATATCTACACGACAGAATCCGTTGCGGTACTGACAAATCGAAAAATCAGACAAAATGCTTGTAGCGCACATATTCGATTTTACGTTCAACCGTGTTTTTATCGAACGCGTCTACACGTACTCGTACACGTACGCTCGTACGAGACGCAATAGCGAATAATCGATTGTTTGCCATTTTTAAGTACCCAGTGGTGTACTGAACAAATACGAGAAGACTGCGCCGGCCGCACCTTCGATAAACGATTACTTTTATTGCCTTAAGTGTACAGGAATTATTGTTTATATAGTTCGCTCCGATAGATTTTACGTATAACGACCATTACGTATGGTAATCAAAGCGTCCGGGATCGAAATGATAACTGTCTACGGTTTTGCTCCACTAAAAGCGTGTTACGGAAATCTTATTCCATAAACAGTGGCGTAGGAAAACTCGCTAGCGCCCCTGGCACACTTAGAAAAAGTTATCTTTTTAACCAATTAAAATTTGATGTCAAGATATTTTTTTTAACCTTTAATTTGTTAATATTTATAAGTGTACAATTTATACTTAGAAGTTATTATTTAAGTGTTCATTTTTTATTTAAATACCCTATTTTCATAATTTCATCATTAAATATCAAATAATTTATAGTGTGTACAAATAGACAACATATAAGTATTTCAAAAAATATAAAGGAAAAATGTCGATTGAATTGTAGGATAAAAATACGACTTTTTTGCATCACTTTGCAATTTGCGGCCCTGGCCTAAGCATAGTTCGCCATACCCTTGCTATGCCACTGCCCGTAAATGAACAACCACTTATACCGTCGTTATAAATCCAAAGGATTAGATCGTTCTGTGTCTTATGGTTGCAGGCGGTGTCACACCAGACAAGTACTGAAAGTTGGTTTTAGATCATATAGTGTTGACTCGACAAATTTACACACCTCATTAAACAGGAAAAGAGTAGAAATCAAACTGC